AAATTTGAGTAAAAATATATGCATGTGTAAAAAATTTTAAAATAAAATATGCTAAACTTCGAAATAAATTTGGTATGAAATGGGTGAATATTAAAAAAATGCGAGTACATATTTTATGTAATATGATATGCATACGGTAAAAAAATTAGGCATTAATATGGATTCATCAATGTAAATAATTCAAACTTGAAATATAATTTTGAAATTAGAAAATTTACTTATATCTAGAACGTAATTCATTTATCAAGATGGCAACTAAGATGTGTTTAACTGAAATAATTGATACTCTATATATATTCATAGTTATATGAATTTACCTAAATAACAGTAAAACATAATAACTTTCCCTAAATAGCAACATATATTTTTTATTTCTCGATGTAGCACTTTTAGTCATTATCCATTAGTCATTATTAAAATAAATGTTCACCATCACAGGATATTATTTTTTCTTCTAGATATTATTAAGTCTTATTTAAGGGATAAAAAGTTTAAGTCTTATATTGGGAAATGACCTATTTTTAGTGCTATTTAGTGCAGATATTTCTCATAGTTAGAGTTTCTAGATTGCATTTTGCAAAAAAGACATTCGGTGAAAATATATCTTCATTAAAAAAAATTAATTCACGATGATGAGATTAAATTTTAATATATTCATTAAAAACAAACACCCAATATTTACCTTTAAAAAGGAAAATAGATTGATGATATCTATAGTCAACACCTTAAAAATCATCTAAATTTAACATCAATTTAGACTTGGTTTGGAATAACTTATAATATTTGTTATGTGGTAATGATTTATGTTAATAGTGGGGAAAAATTTATGGTTCGTATTTACAATTTCTTTATGATGAGTATTACAAGTACAAATGGAGAGACATCGTCGTCAGGTGCAATGCCACACTGCCAAATACAAACAAGAAGGAATGTACTTTGTGATGTGACAAATGATATTGATAAATTTCAAATAAAAAATTTAATTAATCCATTTTATCTGTACAATGCTTCAATCAGGGAATATTGGTACACCCATCTCAGCAAAGTTGCATGTACAAAAGAGACAAAGAAGAATTGATCTATCTTTTGTAACACTGCGATAAATTTTTATGAAGGTAATATTAGTTATGATGGTAAATGTGTTTAAACCATTTATATTACAAATCATCTAGGCAAATAGTACATAATTCACATTCTGAATACACTCAATATATTTCAATTTTAGATGTGGATATAGAAAATTCCTCTGTTCAGGAGAGCATAAGGGATTCATTTTTAGACAATCCTATATTTGGAGGAGCTTAAATAAAAGGTATGTTTTGATTATATGTACAACGTGTAAGTTATGTAATATGTACAATGTAAGAAAATATTAGTTATATCATATTTTATTTGTCCTATAGAAATAACTGATTTTGGGGATCCCTCATTTGCATGTGAGTTTAGTGGAGCTTTGTTATAGTATGAAGAAAGAGCCGAAAAATAACGACATTCAAGCCATCCAAAGTTACGATTCGTTGCATGAAAGGAAAAGTTCAATTACCACTTCTAAACAACCACATACTTCCTGTATAATTTATTTCATGACATTGATTCGAGGAATTCTCATTTCATGAAAAATATAAGAAAATACAATAGCATGTTTTCCTTCACATATATGGATGGAAAAATTGATGCATCTCAAAACAACGGTCGAGCAGTTCCACAGTTTACTTAAAAGGGCACAAACGTCATCACATACCATCTTTGTTGCCACAAGAGGGTGGAAGACCGAGATTTACTCAATTATATATTTATGATACACAAAACGAGATAGCAAACAAGATGACTCATTTCAGGTATCTCGAAGAATTTTTTAAGTGACTCTTTTAACAATACTTATAGAGCATTATCTACATACTAACATAAACAAATTTTTCACTTTGTATTATGCAGTAAACGGAACAACACTTTGACTATTAATACAAGTTTAGTCTAGGATTTGAAAAATATGATTGATGAGCATAATGTTTTGGCACAAAGTTTCAGGAGAGCTAGAGACTTCATGAATAATGATCCCACTTCTAATGTATCACTGAGGCTATTAAGGAGTAGAGCTCGAGACTCGAGAAATTACAATATCCCCATAGTAGATGAAGTTTCTGCTTTAGTCGTTGGAGATTTTAATTCATCCAACCCAGAAATGGACATTATCATCACAAAAAGAAATGGATTCTTACAAAAAAATCTATGAGACACTGCTTTCATACCACTACAATACCCTTTGTTGTTTCCTTTCGAGGAAGATGGGTATCTAGAAAATATTCTTATAATGGAATCTTTTTTTGTGAAGAAAGATGTAAAGCGTCTGTACGTATCAATGAGAGAATTCGTTGCATTTCGACTACATGAAAGGGAGAATGATGAAGGGGTTTTGTTGAATGCGCAAAGATTGTATTAACAATTTTTAGTTGATGCATACACGATGGTTGAAGCACAAAAAAATCATGGTTAAAATTGAACCAAGATCAATTTAGAGGAGATATCATGAGTGGCTTAGAGGAAGCTATTATCAGAGGTGATACCGAATCAGCATCCTTTGGCCAACGAATTATCTTACCATCTTCTTTCACTCGCGAGATGAGATATATGTTTAACAACTGTTAATAGGGGTGGACATAAAATCCGTTCCCGTTGGACCGTTCCGAAAAATCCCGAATCTGTTTTGTAATTGTACCGAATAATTGGGACACAATTTTTTTTATCTCGAACCCGTTCCGTCCCATTATCAAATGGGATATGAGCGGGACAACTTAAATTTATACCGATTTGTCCCGTTTGTCCTGTTTTATCTACTTTATTAATATATAATTCTATTTTTTAATTAATTAAGTTAACTTCAAGTTTCAACTCAAAATTTATTAAATTTATTTGGTCCAAACTCCAAACTGTCCAAATATAAAGTCCAGACTCCAGAGCCCAATTCCGTCCCATTATTAACCTAATTCAGTAAGTTCACTTTTAAAGTTTTAATACACAATTCATTCGCCACTGCGAGTCGCTACACGGCCTACAGCCCTACACCAATTCATCGCTACAGCAGGCCAGCAGCATCTGATTTCTCCAATTCATCGCTACAGCAGCAAGAGTTGTTGCCGCCTGCGGGTTCTGGTTTCCAATTCATCGCTACAGTAGCAACTCCAGTTCTTCCTCAATTGATATGTTGGCAAGAGTTGCTGCTGGCGAGAGTTCAAATTTTAAGCCCAATTCATTGTAGCTATCCCGTGAGTTCTGCCTGCTTCCTCAATTGATTCCTCAGTTTGCATATCCAAAGCATGTGTAAGCTCGAATTTTCCTTGAACTAATTACTTCCCTTTGGTTTTTCAGTACTTAAAGTTTATACAATTGAATTGTTAATGTTTAAATAACTAGATTAGACTAGATTGCTAAATATTAAATTGATTTAATAACTTTTGTTGAATTATCAAATTAGGATTAGAACAAAGTAGGACGACCTCAATCTGTCCCGATTTGTTCCGATCTTGAATTTGATGGGACAAACCGGAATAAGATTATAATCCCAACCATTCCAGACTGTTTATATATTACGGGACAAGATGCGGAACAACTTAAATCCGGACCGTCCTGATCCGTGCCCACCCCTTACTGTCAAGATGAAATGACGATTTGTAGAAGATATGGTTATCTAGACCTATTCATTACTATAACATGCAATCCGCAAATGGCCAGAGATTGCAAGGTTTATGACAAGAAGCAAATCTAAAAAAGTAGTTGTGTGTTGAACATTAATAATAAAGTAACTTTAGTTTCTTTAAATGTTTTTTCCAGGTTTGTACATTGTTGACTTTCAAAAAAGAGGTTTGCCTCATGCACATATCTTGATATGGTTACAAGCGAAGGATAAACTCCAATCGCCCGAGCCAATAGATCGTGTCATATGTGCAGAGTTGCCAAATAAAGACAAATACCCAAGATTGTATGACTCGGTAACTTGATTGATGATGCATGGTCCATGTGGCGTAGATGGTCCTAGATTTCCATGTATGGATGAGGGTAGATGTAAGAAATTTTTTCAAAGAATTTTGTTGAGAAGACAACATTTGATGATAATGGTTACCCGATATATAAAAGAAGAAATATGGGGGTCACTACCATGAGAAAAGACATTGAGTTAGATAATCGATTTGTTGTTCCATATAACCCAGAACTCTTGATGAAGTATCAAGCTCACATCAATATTGAATATTGCAACAAATCCAATTCAATCAAATATCTTTTTAAATAGGTCAATAAAGCTGCAGACAGAGTAATTGTTAGAGTTACACAATCTAAGAGTGACGTTGTAGATAGTGCGGTGTATGATGAAACTGAGAAGTACTACAATTGCTATTATGTGTCTGCATGTGAAGCCTTTTGAAGAATTCTAGCTTTTGATATTCACCATAGGTGGCCAGCCGTTGTGAGATTGAATTTCCATCTCCCAAGACAGAAAAGGGGAATCGAGTCAGGGAAAAAGTTTACATCTCTTGAATAAATTTACTACCATCTGATCCAGGACTACCCTTGAAGTTCCAAAGAAAACAATTCTCGATCGCCTTATATTTTGCTATGACTATCAACAAAAGTCAAGGTCAAACATTGTCATTTGTGGGCTTATTTTTAACTAAGTCGGTGTTCACACATAGTCAATTTTATGTTATTGTTTCATGAGTGTAAACAAAGACATGATTAAAGATATTAGTTCTGATGACAACGGAAACCCTTGCAATCATAACAAAAATGTTGTATACCTTAAAGTTTGTCAGAAAACTTGGTATTAAAATAAACATTGTTAACTCTACATTCAGTTCCTCAAAAATTATTTATTTTAATTTGGCATTTTTCATCTGTAATATTAAAAATCATGTGAACAATATATTTTCATTAATTTGAAAAATAAATTTCTTTAAGACTCCTAGCTACTGGTTTTCATTAATCTCAAGTGTTTCGATCGTCTGGTTTCACGGAGAAGCTTGAACGGCGTAAGCAGGTAGGTCATCGGACATCGGTGCGATATAACCCTGCCGCCGCATACGCACGACCTCTCCGCGGTGCCTATCTGGCGCTAAATCATCACAGTTGCACACAGAAAAGTCTATATATGCAAAGCATGTCTTCCAATCGATACAGCAGGTACCAAGGCGGCGGCACCAGCAGCAGGTCCAAACAGAAGGTTATAACGAATAAGGATGTCTCAACCAATCAACCTTTACCAGGTTCTAATAACCAGCGATCTACGAAGCCGCTGGGCGCCGCCTCTACCTCTGCCTGTGGTAGTGGAAGCCGAGAATCTACAGGCAAGCCTAGTATTCCCGAGGGCGGAGATTGGGTTTCTAGTGTCAGCCACGGTAGCAATTTTGTTGATTACTTGCCTCAGGATGAGGCGGTTGCTACTGGGCTAGGAGCTGACAAGGGCGGATTGGATCCTGTTGAGTCACAGCAAGTGGTGGATCTATTGAACAGAGAATTATCTCGTCTTCTGAAATTGAACCCTACAGATTTCTGGCGAGAAGGTAAACACTCAGATTTGTTGCTTAATTCTGCTGACATTCTACATCATGTGTTAAAAATGTGTCATCTCGTTCGTTCTCTGTAGCTAGTTCA